AATATAAGGTGACCTCTTGTCCCCTACTGATGTACTGTACAATATAAAGTCATCTCTGGACCCCTACCCTGTACAAAATAAGGTGATCTCTGGTCCCCTGCTGATGTACTGCACAATATAAGATGACCTCTGGTTCCCCTGCCAATGTACAATTTAAGGTGACCTCTGGTCCCCCTACTGATGTACAATATAAGGTGACCTCTGTTTCCCCTATGTACAATATAAGTTGTCCTCTGGTCCCCTACTGATGTTCAATATAAGATTACCTCTGATCCCCCTACTGATGTACAATTTAAGGGGACCTCTGGTCCCCTACTGATGTACTGTACAATTTAAGGTGACCTCTGGTCCCACTACCTGATGTACAATATAAGGTGACCTCTGGTCCCCCTACTGATGTACAATATAAGGTGACTTCTGGTCCCACTACTGATGTACAATATAAGATGACCTCTGGTCGCCCTGCTGATGTACAATATAAGATGACCTCTGGTCGACCTGCTGATGAACAATATAAGGTGACCTCTGGTCCCCCTACTGATGTACAATATAAGGTGTCCTCTGATCCCCCTACTGATGTTTTATATAAGATGAGAGGGCTTATATAGGCTATGCCTGCTGCCCAATCCATTCATGTATTTGCATAATAAAATATGTTCAAATCAAATCAATATAAGGTGACGTCTTGTCCCCTACTGATGTACTGTACAATATAAAGTCATCTTTGGACCCCTACCCTGTACAAAATAAGGTGATCTCTGGTCCCCTGCTGATGTAATGCACAATATAAAGTGACCTCTGGTTCCCCTGCTAATGTACAATTTAAGGTGACCTCTGGTCCCCCTACTGATGTACAATATAATGTGACCTCTGTTTCCCCTATGTACAATATAAGTTGTCCTCTGGTCCCCCTACTGATGTTCAATATAAGATTACCTCTGGTCCCCCTACTGATGTACAATATAAGGTGACCTCTGGTCCCCCTACTGATATACAATATAAGGTGTCCTCTTATCTCCCTACTGATGTACAATATAAGATAACCTCTGATCCCCCTACTGATGTACAATATAAGGTGACCTCTAGTCCCACTAATGATATACAATATAAGGTGATCTCTGGTCTCCTTATTGATGAACAATATATGGTGTCCTCTGGTCCCCCTACTGATGTATTGTACAATGTAAGGTGACCACTGCCCCCTACTGATGTACAATTTAAGGGGACCTCTGGTCCCCTAGTGATGTACTGTACAATTTAAGGTGACCTCTGGTCCCACTACTGATGTATAATATAAGGTGACCTCTGGTCACCCTACTGATGTACAATATAAGATTGACCTCTGGTCCCCCTACTGATGTACAATATAAGGTGACCTCTGGTCCCCCTACTGAGGAACAATATAAGGTGACTTCTGGTCCCACTACTGAGGTACAATATAAGGTGACCTCTGGTCCCCCTGCTGATGAACAATATAAGGTGACCCCTAGTCCCCCTACTGATGTACAATATAAGGTGACCTCTGGTCCCCCTACTGAGGTACAATATAAGGTGACTTCTGGTCCAACTACTGAGGTACAATATAAGGTGACCTCTGGTCCCCCTGCTGATGAACAATATAAGGTGACCCCTGGTCCCCCTACTGATGTACAATATAAGATGACCTCTGGTCGCCCTGCTGATGTACAATATAAGGTGAGCTCTGGTCCCCCTACTGATGTACAATATAAGGTGACCTCTGGTCCCCCTACTGATGTACAATATAAGGTGTCCTCTGGTCCCCCTACTGATGTTTAATATAAGATGAGAGGGCTTATATAGGCTATGCCTGCTGCCCAATCCATTTATGTATTTGCATAATAAAAAATGTTCAAATAAAATCAATATAAGATGACCTCTGGACCCCCTACTGATGTACTGTACAATATAAGGTGACCTCTGGTCGCCCTGCTGATGTACAATATAAGGTGACCTCTGGTCGCCCTGCTGATGTAAAATATAAGGTGACCTCTGGTCTTCTTGTTGATGTACAATATAAGGTGTCCTCTTATACCCCTACTGATGTACAATATAAGGGGACCTCTGGGCCCCCTTACTAATGAACAACATGAGGGGACCTCTGGTCCCCTTACTGAGGTACAATACATGTATAAGATGATCTCTGGTCTCCTTATTGATGAACAATATAAGGTGTCCTCTGGTCCCCCTACTGATGTACAATATAAGGTGACCTCTGGTCCCCCAACTGATGTACAATATAAGGTTACCTTTGGTCCCCTACAGAAGTAATGTACAATGTAAGGTGACTACTGGTCCCCCTACTGATGTACAATTTAAGGTGACTTCTGGTCCCCCTACTGATGTACAATATAAGGTGACTTCTGGTTCCCCTACTGATGTACAATATAAGGTAACTTCTGGTCACCCTACTGATGTACAAGATAAGGTGACTTCTGGTCCCCTACTGAAGTGCTGTACAATATAAGGTGACCCCTGGTCCCCCTAATGACGTACAGTATAAGGGTCCTCTTGCTCCCCTACTGATGTATAAAATAAGGTGATATACAGTACAATATAAGGTGACAACTGGTCCCCGTACTGATGTACAATATAAGGTGACCTCTGGTCCCCCAAATGATGTACAATATAAGGTATCCTCAGGTCCCCCTTATGATGTGCAATAAAAGGTTACTTTTGGCTCCCTATTAATTTAAAATGTAAGGTGACCTATGATCCCTCTAATGATGTACAATATGATAGTAGGGTAAGGTGACCACTGGTCTCCCTACTGATGTACAGTATAATTTAAGGTTACCTCTTGTCCCCCTAATTACTTTCCCGTTTCTGATTTTATATATATATATATATATATATATATATATATATATATATATATATATATATATATATATATATATATATATATATATATATATATATATATATATTAGGAAGTAGATCTGTATAAAGTTATAAATATGATTATTTTGGAGTAAGACAAAGAAAACTGTCTATCATATAAAATTCGATTAAAATATAAGATGACCTGAGGTCTCCGTATTGATATCGATGAATTTACTTTTGTGCCTTTAATGCCTGAAGAGTTCCTAAAATGTTTTATTACTACGCAAAATAACGAACTATTTGCGGGGGACCCGAGGTCCTAGTTGAGCGTACGTTTTATCCTTCTGCGAGCGGCGACGCAGTTTGGCACAGCAGTACTATGATGTCATAAGCGTTAATTTTTCCCCCGCACTATCGAACTTTGGCGTGTCAAACCATCGGGGTTTGGCGCAGACCATCGGACTTTGGCGTGACCATCGGACTTTGGAGTTCCATCACACTTTAGAGTCCTATATATCTGAATTTATATACTGGTAGCTAAATCTGAATAAAACTCAGACACAGAAGCAAAAAGTAATTTATCGATATATAATGCGGAATCAGCGTTCGCTATTGCTCGGTATTCATTCCTACCTGCACAAAAAATCAAATTTTTGTTCATCACTTTTAAATGTAAAACATCAACGAGCCCCATCTGATGATAGGCGTACAATGTACGTTACTTTTTTTTCAATTTTAAAATATATCTTTAATAATTTTAAGATAAAAACAAATATCCACATTCACACAGCTATTGCATTCTATATCGTAGAATTGACCTTTCTTTTGGGATTGAACATTTTAGAAATTCAGATCTGTCAGGTCTTATCTTGTGTTACGAAACCAGTAAATGGTAACGATTAAGTAGACAGCGTAAAAATGATATGTTTCTTAATTCTCGGTTTCCTTTGTTTTCAGGCAAATGGATTCTTGTTTAACATATTTAGGTATCCAGTTCACACCATTCAAACCAACACAGTAGGTTCACCAAATCCTCTCATATCTTGTGTTACAAAACCAGTGAATGGTAAAGAAGTAGACAGCGTAAAAATGATGTATTTCTTAATTCTCGGTTTCCTTTATTTTCAGGCAAATGGATTCTTAACCAACCCAGTGAGTACACCAAATCCTCTCCTTCGTAAGTTGACTTCAAAAGCAATTACTGAATCATAATAATAAAGGTTCTTAATTGCAATCACCATCTTCTCATTTGATGATTTTTATATCCGATAAAGGAACATAAAATGAAGATCGTTGTCTTTAATGTCATTTCCTTTTTAACCTCAAAATACTGCTTCAGAAATAAAGATAACCGCAGGTTACGTTACTTTCATCTTAAACATCTACTTTTTAAGATTGCAACTTGAAACCAGCTGACATTGTCTTTCTGTTGGATTCCTCAGGAAGTGAAGGAGTGCAACATTTTAGGGAACAACTTAACTTTGTCAAAAACTTCGTAAAAGAGTTTGACATAGGACCATCCAATGTACAAATCAGTGTAGTGTCTTTTGCAACAAGAATACGTGAAAACTTCAACTTAAAGACATACCATACTAAGGCGGACATTCTCAATGCCATCGATAGAATTCCATATATGTCCGGTTCCACAAACACTGCTGAAGCAATCACCTATGCGATTCAGCACAGCTTCACCCCTATTGGTGGTGACAGGGCCCCTGTTAGTGACGTCTTGTTCGTTGTGACTGACGGACTGTCCATTTCACTTTCAGCAACAAGTCAGGCGGCCAACTTAGCCCATAAAGCTGGTATTAAAACATTCGCAATAGGAATCGGAAACTTAATATCCATACAGGAACTTTTAAATATAGCCTCAGATTCAAAACACGTGTTTCGTGTTTCCACATTCGATGCCCTTCACCTACTTCAGAATGAGCTAAGAAGTAAAACTTGCGAAGGTAACCTTAACAGTTGTGCTTTTTCATTTATTATCTGAATTGCATATCGACTTTTTTGAAATATTCTTATTGTAATTGTCTTAAATTTATATTTTCACATTTATTTAGCATTATCCCAAAGTAGTTTGAATTGCTCTAACCAAATATCGAACTGTCAAAGCTATGGTTCTTCTGTCTGCATTACGTACGCCCAGTGGGGACAGATAAATGTCCGCTGTACTGTGGATACTGTCAAGGTAATACAATGCACTTTATATTACATGTACGAGTATATGTGATGGTTCATCAAATTTTCATTTACTCACTGTTCTAAAAAGTTTGCTTATTGGAATGCATATAGCTGTTAGATGAAAGTGGAAGTATTGTATTTTGGCACCGCCATCCATTAACAGATAACCCAAAATTTTATAGCCATTGCAGAAAAATTCTTAGATACCAAGTTTGTCAAAACAGCATACATATGTACTAGATAATTGAACAATGTCAATGCTCAGTAGTAACACCTAACACACAGATGTGAACACATTTTTTCATGCCAATGTATTGATCAAGATAAATTCTCGGATAAACAAGAAGTAGACATCGCATTCGTACTTACTGTAGATTCCTAAATGTATGCGTGAAATTAGTTATCGTGTAATTTCGCGAAGAAGCACAAAACGGGAAATGAAATTACTCGTTTTTGTTTTTATGGTGCTGAAATCTATGTAAACCCTCTTGACCAACCGTCAATTTGCGACTTATTCTTCTCGAGATTTTATGCTCAAGAGATCATTCGCTATAATAAATACTCGCGAAAAATAAGGCATCGACAGTAATCGAATAGCACAATATGACATGCTAAAACAGTGTGCTGACGTTTACAGACGCATAGTCCGTAATAGCAGCATAACTGTACACATGTAGTTCCCGGAAAATAATAATTTATTGACAGACCATAACTCTGATCACTCTTTGCATTTTTTTCAGAGCAGTGAGGTACTGATCTGCAGCTTCTGAATATAACAAATTTTCATTATTAATTATACTACACTTTTACAGCCTAATTTCAATAGTCAAACCATTTAATTCGTTTACCGTAAAAAATCGAGTACTGGTATTTTCTTTCAAATAATGTTGAACTTGCATCAAGCACACTACTTGCTGGTTTGCTTTGGAGAGAGAGAGAGAGAGAGAGAGAGAGAGAGAGAGAGAGAGAGAGAGAGAGAGAGAGAGAGAGAGAGAGAGAGAGAGAGAGAGAGAGAGAGAGAGAGAGAGAGAGAGAGAGAGAGAGAGAGAGAGAGAGAGAGAGAGAGAGAGAGAGAGAGAGAGAGAGAGAGAGAGAGAGAGAGAGAGAGAGAGAGAGAGAGAGAGAGAGAGAGAGAGTCTCATTTTGTTTACGTACATATCTATCAGATAGTTCCTGAATCAAATGCAATACAATATTAATCATAATCTAATTTTTCTGTAATTTATTTGTTGATTTAATTCAACTTTAATCACAATATGTTGTACCAAAATGAAGTCCATGCACGGGTGTTGTTGTACTCCCGGAATTTGCTTTAATCCTTCATCCATGCCTTCCTTCTTTATGGTAAAAAATTACTAAATAAGTTAATCGAACAACATGTCCTGTAAAATGCCACGTGATTTGGGTTAGTCCTCGGCCTTTCTGAATAACGGAATAATAAACTCTTTGGTATTATGTAGACATCATTACCCCCCCCCCTTTTTGTCCAAACTTTGAAATAAATGAGGGAAGATATTTAATCTGTGGAGCTTCGAGATTAACTTTATTTACTTAAGGTATACCTTAGCTGCAGATCTGTAGCGTTATGGTTTTATATAATTATATTTGTCTTTGACCATAACGCTACAGTTCCCGTAAAGTAAATATTGTGCAATTTACGGTGCACGATTTTCTGTGCACGGATATGGAGAATTTCTCCACTTTCAAGCAATTCTCAATCAATTACCTTTCACTCCCTAAATCTAGACACATTCTGCAGCCAATATGTATTTTTTATACACCTCCCAACCCTTTATACTCGTCTCTACAAGTGATAAACTCGCTTGATTAAAATTATTTGTTAGATTGCTGAAAATTCACTTCTAGCGACTTTATTGCATGTAGAGAAAACTACAAATGGTTGAAAGGAGATAGAGAGAGAGAGAGAGAGAGAGAGAGAGAGAGAGAGAGAATGGTAGTTGATTGAGCAATGCTTGAAAGTGTAGAAATTCTCCCAAAAAGCGCGCAAAAAATATTGAGCCGTAAATTGCACCTTTTTTGCATTACAGGATCTGTAGCGTTATGGTCAAAGACAAAATATATATAAAACCATAACGCTACAGATCTGCAGCTAGGTATACCTTTACTCAGATGACCAAAAATTCCACTGATAAGAACGAAAAACCACCTATTGCGCATTGTACACCAATGATTTTTGTGATAAATTTCAATTTCAAATAACTAGGTCAATGACCTACTTTTCATGCTAGTGGCCCCTGAGCCCCTGGGAAATACCTCAAATTTTCACACTATGACCAATTTTTTTCTATACACACAAAATATTACAAGCAACTAAACTCTTTAAATAATGTAATATTATAGCAATGGAACAACGTTGCTTCATATAAAGAAATGATTGGAGTTTGGGCCAGAAATGTGATAATTATAACAGTCCGAATTTCCTCTATCATATTTATATTTTTCCCCATTTTAAATCGAATATTACAAAAATCTTACTGATAAGAACTCTAAACTATCTATGGCCTCAGATTACTTTTGATGCCCTAATTCTCATGGTATTAATATTATATGGGGTCAATGATCAAATTATTGAGATACATTGTCTGGAATGGTTTTTGTACATATTTTTGAATTTCTCTATTTCGTAGCATTCAATTATTTGAAATAATTTATGATCTCTAACACATATAATATTTGCAAAATGATGTTTAAAAATACATATAACCTTTACTTCGTGATTATTATTGAAAGAAATCAAAATTTTTGACAAAAATGAAAAATTAAAAATTTAGTCCGAATATCCTCTGCATTACCATACATTGACTTTTGCACTTGTATATTTTCTTTAAATATTAAAATATCAAATTTTTAAATTGATTTCGATTTAAAACTTGCTTATATAAACCATTTAGAACAATTTTTGATTTAACATTTTATACTTTATAAAATTTCCTTTCTGTTTTCTGAAACCTGAGTAAACGTCATCCTTAAAAAACCTAAAATAAGATAGAAGGAACAGCAGATATCTGGAATCTGTTAAAAAACAGCGATGCTAAAGTTATTAGCGAATTGGCCCAAGGGCATGTTGTTTTTCAAATCATGACCGGAATAGGTATTCAAAATTCAGCATAGGAAGTTATATCAAGTGATTGTGTCTTTTTTGGGGGGGGATGAGGGTTGGGGTGGAGGTGGGGTGGGGGGTAGGGGTAAGGTATTTCATTGTCTGTTTAGCAATCTTATTCCAGTTTCTCCAAAATAAAGTTATTAATCATCTCATAATATTTAAAAATCAAAGAAAAACAGATCGACATCTCGAATCTAATATATAATATCAATTAATGATATGGCGAAAAGATATACGAAATATATATTTATTCTTCAAAGGAGGTATTGCTTTTAATATCTGAGTGTCGAAAAGTTAATTAGATCAAGTTTTAAATAATGTTTATTTGCCCTTAGGAAAATTTGGTTGGTGGAGGGTAGGTAGGTATAAGTGATTTCAATAAAAATGCTGGCATGTGGCTTGCATTTAAACATTTAATGTTTCTCTTGGCGTTACAAAACCTTTGATTCGAGCCATTTTAGCCATTTGGGCGGGAGAGGGCAACCATACATTTTATAATCATAGAAAACCCCGATCATTCAACTGGCATCGGAATTTCATAAATGTTATGGATTCTGTTGAAGATAACGTCAGACGCTTTCTTGAGTTTCTGATTGACAATATCTGTGTGGCTTTTGATGACCAGGTATTCCAACAATCTATTGGAATTTCCATCGGTACCAGTTGCGTTATTAGCAGACTTATTTTTGCATTCATATGAAGCAGAATTTGTGCGAAATCTTATGCGTGAAAAAAAAAACAACATTTGCAGTGGACTTCAACTCAACATTTAGATATATCGACGGCGTATTGTCAATTAACAATGGTAATTTCCATTCCTGTGTCGATACGATATATCATGGGGAGCTAGACACAAAAGATACCACACAGTCTGACATATCGGCTTCATACTTGTATATTTTACTTGAAAAGACATTAATGGTAATCTAACACCAAAGCTCTATCATAAACGTGATGACTTTAACTTTTCTATCGTCAACTTCCCTTACTTATGCAGCAATATATCTTCATCAACTTTGTGACCTGTCGGCAGGGGATGCTCACTCCTCCATGGCACCCGATACTACCTGATGTTTTAGAGGACCGTCTTTGCTCTGCTTCTGTTTTGTATTGTTTTATGAACTTTGATATTGAATACTGTTTGTTATCTCCATATCCTTCATTAAAAAAGACCTCGTATTTTTTTGACAGCCCAAGGAACGTCAACGTCAGTGGCTCCTGTAACCACAACAACACAAGGTGATTTTCATTTATCGACATGTTTCTGTTTCTTATCAAGCTACCATTGCGTAGCGTCAGTCAATATAATTTTTTTCTTTTATAAATAACCAACACGATATCAATGTGATATGTTTACCTGAATATGATATTCAAATTCTTGGTTAATTCTAATATGACTGACTGATTGATTGTACATTTCCTTTTTGAATGAATAATTAGTTTATTTATCCGTTACAGTTAGCACACCTGCCATTATTACTCAAGGTATGTTAGTTGCGATCATAGTAATACTGTGTATTATATGTTGATTTAATTATTCATTTTTATGTTAATGCATGAGTAAGGAATGTTATATTATAAATGTAGACCATATTTCTTTAAAATTCTAAAGGAGGCAAAATATAAATACTCAATACTAGTTAAAGCTATATATTTGTCAGATCTTCAGTTTCTTAAAGCATTATATACAATATTAGTTACTATTTTGTTACGTCATGAATATTAGCCTAGTCGCAAACAAGACAAAAAAGTATTTTCAATTGATTACCTGAAATGACGCTAGATTACGGGCAAAAAATATAAATCTTGCCCATAATGAAAGGTAGAGATCAGCAGGTTGAAATACAGTGTATGGATGAAATTGGCATGCCTCACTTTAATTCACAGTAATTTGAATTTAGATATAAACACGTCATTTGATTGGGTAAAAAGATTTTATCAATTTTGTATAGCATAACTTGCCTACGTCACAATGAGTTACATCAAAACGTTTAACCCCGCTTTCCGTTATTTTTAAAATATGCTATATTTGAAGCGTTTTCCAGAGGAAAAATTGTCTTATTGTCTACACTGAAGTTAAATTACATGTATAAGGAATGAAACTTCGCGGTTTATATGCGTAAAATGCCCCAAGTTATGTTAAATTGTATCACAAAAGATGAAATAAATTTCATTCTTTAAGTATATTCAAATTGTGAATTTTAGTATTCAGCTTAAAGTTCTCTTTATTGCTATTTATAATATAACAACTTCAGGACTTTCTCTTTCAAAGTGCTTTAGTTGTCTTTTTTTCATAAGCATCCTTATTTTCTCATTGCTAATGACACATAAAGTTTAGATTTGGTTTCATCTAAGAACACAAAATTGTCTTCAATATAATGTACCTTAAGCAAAGAGAGTGTTTAAGGGCGGCGAAAATGGTAAAAATACCCACAATTTTATCATTTTCAAAAATGTATTGTAATACATGTACAATAAAACAGCTTTAAATCAAGAGACTTGATTGTAAAATCAACAGACTTAATCAGTTGCAAAACGAACAATCATCGATATAAAACCAGCAGTCATTACCAGAACTAGATTGCGGGCAAAAAAGATGAATCTAGCCCAAAATGAAAAGGTAGAGATCAGCAGGTTGAAATACAGTGTGTGGAGGAAATTTACATGCCTCACTTTAATTGACTATAATTACATTTCCAATTTATTTGTCCGAGATAAAATTACAAATAGTTAATGGACTTTATTTTCTCATCAATGTACAGGTTCATCGATAGGCGCGGTTAAAAAAAAAAAATCACATGCGTGCCGGGGCAAATAGAGACAGAAGCGGGATTTAGAGCAAGTGGATTGGAGGAATCAAGAGAATGTGAATATAAAGAATACTGCAAGATTTTTTTTAATTTTCATGATGATGATCAATCGATTGGCTTGCATGAAAAGTTCATGCATTTATGCATAAAATTATCACACAAGCCACTCAGTATTTTTTTCACATCATGAAATCAAAAAAATAAACAGCTATCCCTTAAATATCAAAAACAGCACACATATTGATGATACGAGGGTTGTTAAATCAATGTCCTTAGTGCTTGGAAAGAAGCAAAAACGCTTTTCAGTGATTTAGACTTAAAGATTTAACTTAAATATTCTTTTCTTGATTAAAACACAATGTCCGTTTATTCACTTTCTGATTGTTGTTATAACTCATTTTTAGCTCACCTGAGCCGAAGGCTCAAGTGAGCTTTTCTGATCACATTTTGTCCGGCGTCCGTCCGTCCGTCTGTCTGTCCGTCTGTCTGTCTGTAAACTTTTCACATTTTCGACTCCTTCTCAAGAACCGCTGGGCCAATTTCAACCAAACTTGCCACAAAGTATCCTTGGGTGAAGGGGATTCAAGTTTGTTCAAATGAAGGGCCACGCCCTTTTCCAAGGGGAGATAATCATGAATTTGTTAAAAATTAATGGCATTTTTAAAAAATCTTCTTCTCCAGAACCGCTGGGCCAGGAAGGATGAAACTCATGTGGAAGCATCCTCAGGTAGTGTTTACTCAGTTTTGTTCAAATTATGACCCCCGGGGCAAGGGTGGGGCCAAAATGGCCGACCCAAGTTTTACATAGGAATATATAGGAAAAATCTTTAAAAATCTTCTTCTCCAGAACCACTGGGCCAGGAAAGATGAAACTCATGTGGAATCATCCTCAGGTAGTGTAGATTCAAGTTTGTTCAAATCATGACCCCCGGGGCAAAGGTGGGGCCAAAATGGCCGACCCAAGTTTTACATAGGAATATATAGGAAAAATCTTTAAAAATCTTCTTCTCCAGAACCACTGGACCAGGAAAGATGAAACTCATGTGGAATCATCCTCAGGTAGTGTAGATTCAAGTTTGTTCAAATCATGACCCCCGGGGCAAGGGTGGGGCGAAAATGGCCGACCCTAGTTTTACATAGAAATATATAGGAAAAATCTTTAAAAATCTTCTTCTCAAGAACCACTATGACAGGAAAGATGAAACTCATGTGGAATCATCCTCAGGTAGTGTAGATTCAAATTTGTTCAAATCATGACCCCTGGGGCAAGGGTGGGGCCAAAATGACCGACCCAAGTTTTACGCAGGAATATATAGGAAGAATCTTTAAAAATCTTCTTCTCCAGAACCACTGGGCCAGGAAAGATGAAACTCATGTGAAATCATCCTCAGGTAGTGCAGATTCAAGTTTGTTCAAATCATGACCCCCGGGGCTAGGGTGGGGCCAAAATGGCCGACCCTAGTTTTACATAGGAATATATAGGAAAAATCTTTAAAAATCTTCTTCTCAAGAACCACTATGACAGGAAAGATGAAACTCATGTGGAATCATCCTCAGGTAGTGTAGATTCAAATTTGTTCAAATCATTACCCCCGGAGCTAGGGTGGGGCCAAAATGGCCGACCCAAGTTTTACATAGGGATATATAGGGAAACCTTTTAAAATCTTCTTTTCAAGTACTTCAAAGCTATGATTAGTGATATTTATATGGAATCATCCTCAGGTAGTGTAGATTCTAGTTTGTTCAAATGATGAACGCCTGGAGGGGGGGGGGGGGTGAGGGGGGTGGTGGTGGAGTAAATTCAAGCCTGATGTGCTCAGGTGAGCGCTGTGGCCCCTGGGCCTCTTGTTGAGCATGACCCTTCGTATTATACTGGAACACGGCAGATCCTATGATTTCCTAGACTTGTTTCTTCTCACTGAAAGGCGCTTTTTTCAACTTTGAATCATGTCAAAGGGTGACATATGAAGCAAATATTGTTGAAGTCAAACCATAAACCTTTTTATCCTCAAAAACACCTTTACTCTTCAAGGAGTGTGGGTTTGGACGCTGTCATGAAGAAATTTAATGTATAAACCTTTCGAATTTTTTTGCAAAACTTTTGCTTTCTAGACTCCTCCAAAAATTAAAATGCCTCCCCGAATAATAATTTGAAAAACAAGACCACTAATATTTACGAAATTTGCATAAAAAAACTGTCTTTGTTCTCTTGCAATTCCATGCTCTTTTCAGACCTTTGCTGTTTTTGTCAAATGCATCTAATTGTAAAATTGTTTTGTGGGCTTAAAGCAATGGATTCAAATGTCATTATCTGTTTGAATTTCAAACAAACGTGGATATCTTTAAAAATAATTCCGATATTCTTACATGCTGTCGTTTCACTTGTTTTTCAGAACGTAGGGTGACCATTGAGTACAAAGCTTTTTTACTGTCAGATGTTTCTTTAAAAAGTGTGAACTACTTGCAAATTGATGAATTTCAAATTTGCTATTCAGATTTGATTTTTATGGAGAGGTCTGAGTGTTGAATTTCTTTAGATTTGAACATTTTTCAAAAGATTAGAATTTTGAGAATATTTTTATATGTTAGAATTATTATGATGTGTTTGTAAATATTCCCGGGATGATTCTTACAGTTGTATCGTAACGTTAAAAACAGAAACGCAGCGATGACGTTATCACGTCAAAATGCATAACTTTTAAAGAACACTTACCATTTCCGAGACTTCTGACGGAAAAACGGTTTTAGATAATTTTAAAAAATAAATTGGAAGGACTTCTGAAAGATTTTTCGAGCTCCTTCATTTCGATTTAAGCTTATCCAATTAACAGTTGTTAATGATGAAATCCAGCTTTTGATTTTCGGTTCTTTGTCCCTGTGGAGGACAACAAGTCTAGTTTTTACATCAAACAAGGTTACAATGTGTGTTTGCGGGTTGACAGTGGGGATGGCATCTCAGATGTTGGTGTAGATGTAGGTATAGGTTTTTGGTCAGAATCACCGTAAAGTTGCAAGCTAACTTCATTTTCACTTACATCGGAGTTTATACCCTTTAAACATAAATGGCCATAGGAAAAAAGAAATAAATACGTACTAATTTCGGATTAGACAATATACTTGAACAATTAAAGTCTGGCTTTCAGTACTTTGATTTCTTATGGTACACATGATTAATAAGTGTAATAAATATACTGTATGTAAGGCAATGAGTGAACTATGAGTGAAACCCATAGCTTCAGAATTATAATGAAATTGTGAAATCTAGCATTTAGAATTAAGTTCTCATAATTGATATTAATGATATAATTGAAATTCAATTTCCACCTTCATGTTTGTCTCACTATAGGCCTTTTGCTCGTCATGTTCACCGAATAATCTCCTTTGTGAAAAAAAATGTCCAACAATATCGAATATTGAATATCGGGGAATGGAGTGTCCATAAATACCTGTGCTTAAAGCTGATTACGTTTAATATTTAATAGGCATCCAGTGCCCCAGTTGCGATGGACAGTTGAACTGTGTGTGGAAGCAAACGTGTTATCCTGAGGAAGATTGTATGATAAGAAGTTATCCAGGAACAAACTTTACAACGCATTGTACAAGGGTATATTTTCTATGTTTAATGTTCCTTTCGAGAATTATTCACTACGTTAACAAAAATGTTATCATGACGTGACGA